TTTTACGCAGATTATTTGTATAAATATTGTAAAATTGTATGTGTCCAGTACTATTTAGAACAAAACTATTCTAAGATCGACAATAAGCTTCGCAGGAACTAATAGATCTTTGGATGATAAAGCAACATCCAGCATTTAAAGTTTTATATCACTGATGTCAATTTTCTTTAGGATTTATAATAATAAGACCTGTTACAATCAGAATATTGTTAGTCAAACCTGTTATGCTGATTCTGCAATGAGTCGATAGGTGGAAATCTTAGTTGACCAATAGCTAACTTGTAAGACTGTAATGCTGATTAATCAAATTCATCGATTAAGATTAATAAGCCTTTTACAATGAGGTTAATGAGTCATAAGTCATAAATCAGAAGTCAGAGGTTAATGAGTCATAAGTCATAAATCAGAAACTTGACTACTGTGATTGGTTCATTTCTAACTTATAATTTATGATCTATAGTTTATTGCAGAAAGCTCAGTAAGACTACCGATTCATTGTAGAATCATTATATTGAATTTTTTACGATGAAAAATTTTACCATTGTCTAAAGTCGATACAGCAACATATAATTAACCGGTACAATAGTGAAATGTTTAATAGGTGCCGGTAATGGAAGGAATGACTTATATTTCTTTCTTTTTACAATCATATACCGCCATCGTTCCTCTTTATAATCATTCTACCGTCTTTTTTCACCGGTGAATTGTTTAGTTCGAGGATAGGGTTAAACGTGAGTAGTGAGATGGAATTGAGATGACACATGGAAGCCGTTCGGGAACACTCACCACCCAAAGGTACACGATACCTTTACTACTTCTTCACTGAAGTCATTGAAACACACCAACGAGTTTCCGAACGCCTAATTAAGTCTGTTCGCGTTGCATGAAATCCCCAAATATTTTTGCTTAAGATAAGATAGATATATATTTGGCATTGAAAAGAGAGAAAGCAAATAAGCCGAGTGCAAAAAGTGCGAGCAATGCAAATAGATCTATAATATTTTCACTTCATTTTGAACATAATCGATCTCCAGATTAAAGAATGCGCTATTTTTATTAATATGAAACTTTAATAATCTCTAATAATCCCGGGCGACTGAGGCGATATCGAGCAATTCCGTGGCACTCCAAGCGATTCCGGACCGAGTCCGGGCGACTCCGGGCGACTCCGGGCGATGATGGGCGTCGATAACATTGTTTTCAAAAATTTACAAAAAACAGTGAAATTTCTAAAAAAAACTTCTTTAAAAAAGAAAAAAATATATGCAAGTGCATAAAAAAGGTATCGAACATTATATTCCTTTAAAAAAAAAATGGATACAAAATAAATATTTAATTTAACCAAGTATTTCATAATACAAAACACATAATTAGATAGATTGGAAATGACTAAAATGATTAAAAAATTACTTTTAGTAAATATTTTGGAATCATTTTAATGTCATGATTTTTTGTTCTGTTTGGATATGTTTTTCAATTTATTGTACATGATAGATTTTAGAAACATTCCTGCTCAGTAAGAAATGACAATGGAATTAACATCAAATCGATGTCGATTCGATATCGATTTCATTATCATTTCTCACTGGGTGTTGAAATATTTCATAAGACATATTTGCAGAATCCTTTCATTGCACACGATCGAGATGTGAAAGATTGAAACATTTCTAAAAATTTTGCGCAACAATCGGTGCTGTATAGATTTTAATAGATATTTAATTAATTGAAAGACGATTAAAAAACTATATACGCGTAAGAGAGAGAATTTTCTTTTGTATCATTGATTATTTTGATTCTTTATATGTTTGTGTACTACAGGATTGTACTTATTGTACTGTTAGTTGTATACTCTGATTCTGCTACTTATTGCAATGTTACGATGAATTGAACGACAAAAAACTTTATTAATGAAAAAATGAATATAAAAAATGTATTAGATACATTATATCAATATATGCATATTATATTATAATTAAAAAAGAATATAAAGCTTTTCATGGATCCATTATCTCAAAATGGATGAGATTTAAAGAATTATTCAGATAATTAATCTTGGCATAGCCATCTTGAGATACCCGGTAAAAAATGCACGTTCATTTCTCTTTCTTTTGTAAAATTACTTTTTAGTGTAATAAAAATAATAATAATAATGCAAAAACAATTAAAGAAATAATTTTGTTTTAGAAAAAATCAAATTTGGAGAAATATAAAAAAATTGTTCATTTACAATTATGTATAATTTTATATATAATTATATATGAGCATTTATTTTATATTTCTCTAAACTTGATTTTTTCGAAAAGAATTAGGACGAACATTATCCTTTTAAATATTTTTTATGTTTTCATATTATTATTATTATTTCTATTACTAAAAAATAATTTTACAAAAGAAAGAAGGACGTATGTACACTTATGTATAAATATTTCAAATACAATTATGTATGTTTATGAATATTTATACATATTTGTATATGTTTGTATGTTATGTATTATTATACATATTCATGCATGACAAATTTTTTACCAGGATTTTTTATCTGTATAAAATTAACTATTCTCCATTTAATTTTTATCTCAATAAGTTGCGAATAATTAATGAAAGAGAAACATACAATTTAATTAAAAAGTTAAAATCTAAAATTTAATAAAAATATTTTGTTGTCAAAATTTTTTTTCAGAAAAATTAATTATTGGTAAATATCTTATTGAAAGGTGTATTAAAAGTTTAATACATAAGAATTATCTTTTGAAATGTTGATTCTATGGAGTATTGTTTTAATTTGAAACTTGTATTTGTTATTTTATGTTATAGAATCAACGCTGTATGTGCAATAGCGCTACGCAGATACCAGGTGTACAAGTATGAAATGATGATTTGAGAAACAGATGGCGCACCAATGCAGTATGAAGTACAAAGATTTAACATTATACGCTATTTTATTGTACCATCAACAAGTGTCAAACGCGCAAAGTGATTTGATTGAAAAGTGTTTGCATAGTATTGTGCTGCTGTGTTTAATATGACGAAATTTGTACCAAAGGAGCATTCGCGGACAGCATTAATTTTTTTGTTTTCATTTGAAGAAAACTGCTGCGGAATCATACAGATTACTTGGAGAAGCTTATGGTGAACATGCTCCAAAAAACGTGTGAACGATGTTTTCAGCGTTTCAAAATTGGAGATTTCGATGTTGCAGACAAGGAACACGGAAAACCGCCCAAAACGTACGAAGACGTGGAATTGCAAGCATTGCTGGATGAAGATGATTCACAAACACAAAAACAACTCGCAGAACAATTGAGCGTTAGTCAATAAGCTGTTTCCAATCGCCTACGAGAGATGGGAAAGATTCAGAGAGTCGGCAGATGGGTGCCACATGAATTGAATGGAAAAGCGCAAAAATACATGTGAAATTTTGCTCGAACGATACAGAAGAAAGTCATTCTTGCATCGTATCGTTACTGGGGATGAAAAGTGGATTTTTTTTGAGAATCCCAAGCGCAAAAAATCATGAGACCCAGGCGCACCATCCACATCGACCGCAAGACCGAATCGCTTTGGCAGGAAGACGATGCTCTGTGTTTGGTGGGATCACAAGGGTGTGGTCTATTATGAGCTATTGAAGCCTGGCAAAACGGTTAATACCAAACGCTATCAACAATTAATCGATTTGAACCGTTCGCTGCTTAAAAAACGACCAGAATACTAAAAGAGGCAACACAAGATCATTTTTCTCCATGACAATGCTCCATCACATACGGCAAAACCAGTTCGGGACACGTTGGAAGCACTCAGCTGGGAAGTTCTACCCCATGCGGCTTACTCACCAGACTTGGCTTCTTCCGATTACCACTTGTTTGCATCGATGGTCACGCACTTGCTGAGCAGCACTTTGGTTCGTACGAAGATTTGAAAAAATGGCTTGATGAATGGTTCGCGGCAAAAGGGAAAGATTTTTACTGGCGTTACTGGTATCCACAAATTGCCCGAAAGATGGGAAAAATGTGTAACTAGCAATGGAGCATACTTCGAATAAATCTCTTTTTATCATTCTTCCGAATTTAACGTGTTTTTTTTGGAAAAAAAATCATTATTTCATACTTGCACACTTGTGGTATATAATTCCGCTGTTACATATTGGGTAAGTGAATTAATTTTTTTATTGAGATATGATATACGTGTGGTGGCATATAACATATAAAATCTTATGCTGATATTTAATTATGCAAATGTGGCTATAAATAGCAAAAAGAATTTTACTTATAAATAATGTAACTATAATTAATATA